ACTGCCTGCTCACCCAGGGCCAGGGACAAGGCCCATCATCAGTGGGTGGGGATGGGCAGCATCTCTGCTTTAAGAGAGACTTTGTCTTTTCGTTTTGGTGTCAAAGTGTCATGCAAGCATCTTCTAGTTGTACAGGCTAATGTTGACATGGACAATCAAAACTCTACTTGACGTGTGGGTGCACTCTCTGTGTTTACATCTGAATGTATTACTGCAGCTCTGGGAACTCATAATATTTCAGACAAAATGATGATGCATTTGTAGAACTGACATGAGATGCTCTAAACATTTTTCCTTTTCTACCTTCTTGCTCAGCTCTCCCACCTTACCCACTCATTTGTGCCTTCTGTGATCTTCGTGTGGTAACAGGCTTTCAAGTTCCATTGATTGACTATTTCAGTGAGGGAATGAATGAATGAGAACATGATGGCACACTTAATGCTGACACTATTGGCTATAACCTAATCATATATAATTAATTTAGGGGAATCATTGGGATTTGATGGAATACTAGGGTTATCATTAAGAATTCTAGTTCTCACTGCTCTAGAGAATTCAGGTTGATAAAATACCAGATTAATTCAAAAGGGTCTTTAACTTGCAAACATTTGGATCTGCAGATATATTAAAATAAGTGAACTGAAATTTAGGTGGCTATGGTCATTCTGTTCCATCTTTGCTCTTATCCCCTCGCCACTTTGCTTTATATCATGGCTATGTTTCTAGGGGATTTTGCTAACATGAGGAAAGAGAATATTCACACTGGAAACTTTCTCCCCCAGCCAAAGAGATTCAGTGTTCCTATTTCTTTAGCAATTGGCTAGCCTAAGCAAATCTGAACAGATGACAGACACTATGTTGCCAAAACTTCTTGGAATAAGATTGACTTTTAATAATTTCCAGCATATTCTTAATGGTACTAATAGCTGTCAAATTAGCTTAGCCTAGGTCTTAGAGAGTATTTAGTCAGACAAGATTTATTAATTACCTATCAGAACATAGGCACTGAGAATAGAACAGAATCAGCCAAAGCCTTTTCCCTAAGGTTACTTTCAGACTAACAGGGAGGAAGACATATACATGAAAGTACAATAAACTGTAGGTTCTGGAAGAGAACTCTGCTGGAGTACAGTGAGGGTTCCTTGGAGGAGGTGACCAATTTGCCTGGGGCATGAATGGAAAAGAGGCATCGAGTGTATGTTTCCTTACCCTTAAGGTAACATAGCCAAGCAGGAACAAGTGGGGTAGGATAGGCATTCCAGTAGAAGGAACAGCATGAACCAAGGCTTGGAGATGTTAAACAGGTAGGTAGCTTCCATCAACCTCAGGTTCTAAGAGTAGAGGGGGCAGGTGGTTGGGAGGTGTCATGAGAGAGAGAACTGATAAGTCAGACAAAAGGTAGCTCACATAGACCTCCAGTGCCTTGAAAAGAAAATTGGTTTTTACCCCATGTCAAACTTGGACCTGATCCCCTAGCTCGTTGCCAGTGGTGCGGATCTGACTTCTGTTAAAATAACAACTGGGTGCCATAATCCCAAATGAGGCCTTTGGACACCATCATTCCAAGATGGACGCTCCGTGTCTGCTACTAGACCCCAGCTAGTCCAGTGCTTTTCTAATCCTGAGTCCAGATATCGCCAGCATCATCACAACTCAGACTTTGCTTTCCTCAGATGGAGGGGATGCACTTCAAGAATTCTGGTTTTACAAGACCTACCCTGTTTCTCCTCTCCAACCTCCTACCCCACAGCCTGGACTCTACATTCGGCAGTCAAAAACCTTTCCATTAATAGCTCACTCTGTCGGCCCCTTAGTCTTCAAAAAAAAATTTTTAACACCTATTGAGAATAGAGAGCCATTGAAGAATTTTAAGCATGTGTGTAACAAGGTCAGTTATTCATTTTAGAGATATCTACTTGATTTCAGTGTGCAGGCTGGACTGGAGATGGAAGAGCAGTCAGAACCTTGCAGTAACCCAGGTGAGAGACTGTAAAAGCCTTGGTTACACAGTAAGAGTGAGTGAAGGAAAGAGGATGGGACTTGCCCCTGTCAGATGTGGAGCGGGGGACAAGAAAGTGGCTCTAAAGTTTCTGGCTTGAACACTGTTGGAGGGGGAGGCCCCTTCCCCATTGCTCTGCTTTTATGAAGAAGGACCTTCTCTAAATGCTGTTGGCCTTTTGCCCAGCTCTGATTTCTGTCCTGAGATGGAGAGTTACCTCCATCTGGTTTGTGGGCACAGCCATTTGCTCATGTTTCTTAGCATGAAGTCCAGCCTCCCTCTCCATTCTTGACCACTGAGAGGCTATGGCCTGGCCCTCTCTGCACATCCAGTTCCCTTGGTGGCCTGCACTTGGAGGCAGGAAGCTGGGAAACCCATTGTCCTCAGCTCTGGTCTCTAAATTACCGCTTCTCTGTGATAATAGTGTTGTTTTGAACTGCTGAATTTTGGACCTATTCTTTCAGTTGGTTCAGATCTCAGGAAAACAGGACTACTTTTGTTTGTTTGTTTGTTTTTTGGGGTTTTTTTTTAAAGATTTTATTGGGGAATTGAAGGAGGGGAACAGTGTTGGGGAACTGAGGAAGGGGAACAGCCAAGTTGTTGTCCTTCAATCTTAGTTGTGGAGGGTGCAGCTAGCTCAGCTCCAAGTCCAGTCTCCTTCCGACGCCTGTGGGCAGCTCATGGCCACTCAGCTCAAGGTGCTGTGTTCAATCTTACTTGCGGGTGGGCGTAGCCACCATCTCATGTGGGAGTCGAACCGGCAACCCTGTTGTTAGGAGCACATGCTCTCACCTGCCAAGCCATCCTGCCACCTGTTGGCAGCTCATGGCAGCTCATCTCGGGTGTAGCTCACTGGCCCATGTGGGAACCGAACTGGCAACCCTGTTGCTCAGAGCTCGCACTCTTAACCAACGGAGCCACTTGGCCGGCCCAACAGGGCTACTTTCTAAGGATGCCCCTTTAGAGCCTTAAGGCTGTGTTGATCTGAGATGCCTATGGTATATTCAGACAAAGCTGTCCAGGGGAGACAGTTGCAGTGAGGGGTTTAGAACTCAGGAGAGGCCTGGCTAGAGACAGATGGCACTGGAAGCTACGGGCTGGACGAGACGACCGAGGGGAGTGGAAAGAGCAATGGTTCCCAATCCTGGCTTAGGTCAGTTCCCAGACTCTTTGTAAAATGTTGATGGTGAGGCCCCAGCCTAAAATTGTGTTCAGGGCTGGTGACAGGTGCCTGTGTTTTCCAAAATAAGCTTATGATTCTGACACTCATGGAGCAGGGTTGAGATATCCTGGTGAGAGCAAGCTTGAGGACAGAGCCACGGGACCCACCAGCATTTAAGAGAGATGTGTGTGTCTGGGTGTGTCAGGATTGTCAATCACAGTGACCTATGACTGGTAACATTATTAATGGTACGAACTTCCCAGGCAATACAAACTAGGGCACGGACAGCATACAATCTTTTTACAAAAAAGTCAAGCTCCTTTCATGTTTTTAAGAAACATATTGAAAATGATTTTGCGTTCTTAGTAACACAATGAATTATTTTTTCCTGATAGGATGACTGAATCTTGCAGTTCTAATTAGCTGACATTTCTAATACTGTTTAAATTGATTATGAACTCCAGAATGAAATGAGATGGGGCCTCTTGGCTTACCCAGTAAAAAGGATTATGGGAAATTCACTTGAGCTCATCTTTGGACACTGAGAAAAAGAAATGAAAACTTTGACTCTTTAACTTAAGGAATTTAATATAGTGTAAATCCTTGATTTAAGCGTAAAAGTAGAGTTACATTCACACTCCTTTAAAGTGTTTGTGTGACCCTGGGAAAATTACTTGAGGCCTCTGTCTCATTCAGTTTCCTCATCTGTAAAATGGGAATAAAAACAAGACCTGTCTCCTAAGACCTTTGCTTTGCAAGGATTAAACAAGATAATACATGTAACGCAATAGCTCAGTGCTCCAGGCACAGACCAAACATTTAATATAAGCACCAGCTTAGAAAGTTGTAGACCAATAACTGGACAGCACTACTCCTTACAGACAGCACCAGTGTAACTCAGTGCTTCTAACGCAGCAGCACAACCACGTGGTTTAAACCTCATGCGTATTACTCAGGCCTCTGAGACAAGGGGGTTTTCCTGGGCTGGGAAACAGACCACTTTCACGATGGACCACATTCCTTGGCTATTTGAAAGATTAGCTTCAAAGATTGCTTTGAAAACTTACCTCCCCAAGAGGTTATTTGCGGTGTGGTTGGGCCTGGCTGCACGGCAACATAGCCCAGCTTGGGAAGTGTCTGCCTTGTATCGTGAGGGAGAGAAATAGAAATAAGGAGGCTCTGTAAGCATTGACATCCAGCAGTGCGGGGAATTATAGGTATTCTGGATCATCAATTCTTCACCCATCAGTTCAATTAATGAATATCTACTTTGTGCTGAACCAAGTGCTAGGTGCTGGGGATCTGAAGATAAAGAAACTCCTTGCCTCCAAGGAGCGGAGCCTACAGTTTAGTGAAAGAACAGGCATGCAAATAAGTAAGTGCCATGGTTTGGGGTATGCACAAAACTCCCTTGGAAACAGAGGGGAAGGGGCCCCTTCGGGTCATCTAGGCAATTGGATAGATGGTGTTATCACTCATCCAAACTGGGGCTCCACAAAGAGGAGGAGGAGGAGGAGACGTTTAGGGGAGAAAGTAATGGGTTCGGGTTTTGTTACATCGTTTGAAGTGCTTGTGCAAGTAACTTCCAAACCAAGAAGTTCTGCAGCAATTAAATGAGTGGCTCTAACACCCACTTTTAGGAGCCTGTCAAGGTTAGAGTACCTGACCTGGGAGGTCATTAGCACATAGGTGACAGCTGCTGGGCATGGATGATACTACCTTGGTAAGACGTTCGAGTTGAGAGATACTGTGAAACACTAACATTTAAAGGGTGGGCAGAGGAGGAGACAGAACAGGAGCCAAGAGAGAAGGAGCAGGACCAGAAAAATCAAGAGAGGATTTTCAAGGTAGTCTCAATATTTTCAAAATATGACTTTAATGACAGAGTTAATAAGCTGTTATTCCATAAAAGGATTGCCCTATTTTCAAAGAACTTGCAGTGTCTTACACATGTTGAAAGACAGAAAATAAATTAGAACATTGTAATGCACACTTAGCGCTAACACTATCGAACACAATACAACTTTTAGATAGTTCAGAAGGCACTTGAGGACATTTTTTAGTGCCTCAGAGCATCATTATGAACTCCTAACTATTGTTGTCCTGGTCGGCTATGAGGGTGCTGATAACTAGAGAGTTAACTGACCTCTGGAGAAACCAAGCTTTACTTTAAATGGGAAGGCTTACCAGCAGCGACAAAAAAGGGGTGTCCAGATCCCAGCTCAGGCTAGCTAGCCAGCTGACCCATCAGGGACATGAACCCATCAGTAAAAATGAAAAACCTTTCATCCTTCCAGTCCCCCCAACCCCCATGTGTCTATGTGAGACTTGTCACCTAAAGGGAAGTTCGGGGAGCACATCAGCCTCCCACCCCAGTTTCTTAACACCCTAGAAATGATGATGACATCTGTACACATGCATTTCAAGGCTCTCAATAGCCATCCAGAGGCTTGGATCTGAGTTCACAATGGTCTGACCTACACTTAAAATAATAAGTTTAATAGAGCCAAGAGAAGCTGATTTATAAACTTGTTTCCAAGGCTGAACCTTCTGTAAGAGGGATCCTAACTGATGTCCTAGGCATGGGTGCTAAATGAATTGTGTGTCTTCCCTGGGCTCTGATAACAAGGTCACTCCGTGCTTGTGAGTTAGCAAGCTCTCAATTCTGTTACTGTCATGGTCAAAGGTGAGAAGTAAACTTGAATAGAGGTGTTAGAGGGTAGTTCTCCCCAGACTGCCAGATGCCGGTTCTGCCATGACCGCGGATGGTCAAAGAACAAGAGCTTTTCCGTGACAATCAAGACAGTCAGCACGGGAATAATTCCCTGCTTGTCCTTGCTGAGTGGGTGGACTGGATTTAGAAAGGAATTTGCTGAATTGCACAGCTCCTGATGAGAAGGGAGCGGGGAAGGAGATGCTGGAAAAGGGAGAGGCACTGGCTGGGTGTGGGCCAGGGCTGCTTGCTGCCACCTTGTGCTGTCTGTATGGAAGCGGGGAGCTGTGATTCTGTTGTCATCAAAACCATGTGGAGTCGGGGCTATTCCTCGTCATCGTCACTGTCATCGTTATCCTCCTCATCGGAATTATCACTGTCGTCATCGTCGTCCTCATCTTCGTCCTCATCATCCTCTTCATCGTCTTCATCTTCATTGTCATCGTCCTCAGTGTTTATCTTTCCAGAAAGCACATCCTCAATCCAGTCTTCCAGCTCCTCAGCTGTGGGCAGGTCATCATCATCTGGAATCTGCATCCAGACACTGTCAGCCTACAGACAAGGGACAGAATGAGTGAGTGAGTGAAGGCATGAAGGGCGAGCCAGACAAGAAGCTTCCAAGCAGCTGTGCTGAGGGGGGCCCAGGTCACTTACACTTATCGGATGGGTGCACGTGGTTAAATGGAAATACCAAGTGGTAGAATTGTACGTGTACTATCCTATTTGTGCAGCAGAAAAGGAAAAGTGTATTCCCGTGTGTGTGTGTGTGTAATCTGTGCAAAGGGGAGGGGAGGGAGGCAGGGCTGTGCAGGGTGGGTAGTGGAGTAGGCCAGGCCCAGCCCTAAGACTGGCAGCTGCTCCAACCCCATCCCTCCTTAGAGATGCCACCTCCCCACCCACACAACCACCCCTCATGTGTGCCTTGCCTCCCTATCCTGGAGAGTCCTTCCAAGTCACCATTACAGCCTTGGCAGAGTCCACTCCCTCCCCTAACCTGCCCACCCTCCCTAACCCCAGCCTTAGGTTCATACTGTGGGAAAGTGCTAGGACTTGGGAGATAGCCCAGGAATGGGGCAGCTCCCAGAGGCATTGAAAACAGGCATTTTTATGAATTCTAGTTGTATTTGTACTTTCCCCCCTCTGATTACACCATATATATATATATTTCCACCAATGGTTCCCTTGGGGAATGGAATTAGGAATGGGGTCAGGGCAGTGGAAAATGTTTTTGCTTTTCACCTTATATGCTACTCTTCAGTGTTAAAATGTTTTAACTTGGACAAATTTTTTCAAATTATTATTATTATTCATGTTGTAATTAATTTCAAAAGTAGTTTACAAAATACATCAATGTCGAATTCCCCAGGTGAGTGAACACCTACCAACAGGTGTTCAAAAGGACACAGCTCACTGGCCCCCATTCACAAGTGTTTCCACCACAATCAATTATGGCTCTAATGGATCCTCTGACCTTCTCTTTCTGTCCATGTTTGCCTGGTTGTATCTGTCCCCACTTCTGTGTTGTTATGGTGAAATTGTATCAGAGTACCAGACGTCTGGACTGAGGTCTAAAATTCCTCCTGTTTGGCCAAGCCACCTCACTAGCCTTTCCCGCCTCCGTTCAATGGTGTCTGAGTGGCACGGAGAAGCCCCTCCCTCCGCATGGTTTTCTCCCTGCCCTTCTGTAGGCTGGGTCTCCTGCCTGCAGACATGGCTGCCAGGCCATTGCCTTCATGGGCTTCTGGGCTACAGCTGCCCCATCACCCATCATGCAATGGCAGCTCCAGGTATGGGTTCTCTTGTGTAAAGAGACCTTGGTTTGAGGCATTGGGAGAAAATACAGTAGAGTTTACTTGGGTGGAAATTTCCAAATAGACAGTGAACCAGGTCAAGCTGGCTCCATAAGTAAGAAAATGTGCTCATGGAAGAGAACCATGGAGCCGTACTTTGGGACTGGCTCAGAGACTAGGCTTGGACCACATTGGCAAGTTTCCTGAGCTTGGGCAGGGAAAAAGGTCCTGCTCATATTATGAGAGGCTGGGCATGATCTTATGGTCTGGGCTGCATGGCAGAAAACAGGGCAGGCTGCGGGCGCCTGAGCAAGCTTCCATGTGGTATACTCACATCTGTCACATTCACCACCCCAATCTGTGGCTTGAACAGGTCAATCTTGAAAGTCTTTTCCCAATAGGTAATAAGCTGTGGCAACAAAAAATAAAATTAGACAGTGGGCAGAGAGCATTCCCTGTTCAAATCACTTTTGGTGGCTGGACCCACCTGCCATCCCATCACAGTAACTAGGTCACCATTGGTTAAAGGTCTCCAAAACAGCTGTGGGCACTTAGTAAATTTAAGACTTGGCCCTAGCCCTCAAGCCCTTTAAATAAGCATGAAAAAATAAGGATGTTATAACACAAACTATGAAAATATATACTATAAAAGCTTCTACAGCTGTAAGGAAGAATATTACAGAGGTGGTCCAAAGTCGATTCCCAAATTATTTGGGGCTCTTTTATAGTTTATGTGTGGTAGAAGAGCGATTTCCCTCCACCTCCTTTCAATGTCCCATTTAAAAATCTCTTACCCTGTGCCACTCTGCCACATGAGGTGGCTGGGAAAGGAGCGATGTGCTGTAAGCTGGCATACAAGTAAGAAGAGAGCTTCTTTATTTGGCCAGGTTTGGGTTCCATGTGGACTCATCTCGGACTGGGGCAGGACTAAACAAGTAAGGGGCCATTGGGCTAAGAAATGGAGATATTCAGCAGTAGAAAGTCCCCTAAGCAAATATATAGACTCATGGGGACTGGGGATCATCAGGAACCTCAAAATCTTTGCATGTTTGCAAAAAGCAAGGGCAAACATGTAGAGCAGGTCATGAAAACTGCAGACCATCTGCAAGCTTGTATAACAAAATAGTCCAGAGAAACTAGAACTAGTGATACCAGGCAGAGGCTAACTAAACAAAGCTCTAATATATAGAGTCTTATGAGGCCATGATTTTATTATGATTACCCAGGATTATGACATTGACCTCAGATCAGGGGTCATGGAAATCTCTGCCTTTGACTCACTCATCCTGTAGGTAGGATGCGGGTTCAGGAACCCTTGTGATCATTAAAACAATCTCATTTTTTTCTAATTAATCATAGTATGACCGGTAGTGACCTATCCAACAAATGATAAACCCTGGAAGAAGATAGAGTTGTCATTTACAACCTAATGATAACTAAATATGTAGGGATTATTAGCAGTTAGAGCTACCTAAAGTCTCTTGACTAACACACAAAGCTCTGACATCACATTACTGTCACATCTACCACTTACAGTTTTAATGTCTCCAGCTGTCATTCTTTTCATCTGTAACATTGGGGATTCTAATAGTCCCTACTTCAGAGGGTTGTTGAGAGGATTAGACGAGATGACGCATACAAAGAATTTACCATAGTTCCAGGCATACGGTAGAGTATATTACGACTGGGCTGTGGTTATTCTGTTCATTGTCTTTAAGCATAATCAAGGCACTCTGGCCATTGAATGCTGACACTAGCAAGAGTTTGGACTTTATGGCTCTTACACATTCCAGTCCAGTGCTGGACATGATGCTAGGACCTGGGAGACCACGATGAACAAGACAGACAGGGTCCCTGCGCTCCCAGAGGCTGCTCCTTCTATCCATGAAGTTCTTAACTCAATGCAAAATGTTCATGTCTGGCTTTTATTACTTACAAGTCAGGTTGCCTCAGAACGATGGCACCCTGAAAATGAAAGCGTAAATATCACGGGGTGGTGGCGGGATGAGGGGCAGCTCTGGAGCCGCTGGCAGAAAAATTTCACCTAGTTCCCTTGTCTGGGCCCCAGAGAGGGACCTCTGGTCTCCAGGGAGTGAAAACAATAAGTCTAACCACGCCAGGATCAGCACCAGGCCCCCAGCTCACTGTTGCCCCAGTGGTCAAGGTCTCCCACTTTGACGGGGGCGGCCACCGGATTACTGCAAGTGCCTCTCCTATTTCACATCCTCCTTCATGCATCAGGCTCTCACACTGCACACACACGAGACTGTGAAGGTGACTCAGGATGGGGTTCTGGCCTGAGGCACTCACCAGAGGAAAGTCATCCGGGTCGATCCATACGATGCTCAGGTCAGGGTTGTTGGTGTTGTCACGCGCCACGTGTTTCAGGATCTCCAGGAACTCGTAGCCATCTGAAATGAAGCAGGTTCAAGAAGATTGAGTAACCCCCGCGTATACAATGCTTCTCACACAAAAACCCAGAGTGCGGTTTTTCCACGAGCGTTTCTTAAGCCGTTTGGTGCGTACCCTCAATTACAGGATTATTCTATAACATGAGTCAGATGAGAACTCTAGCCACAAAGCAGCTTATTTAAAGGAAACAATAAAAATTTCTAATCAAGAAATTAGAAGTTCACGGGGAAGTGCCTGGTTTGTCACAGAAAGCCAAGCTCCCTCTGCTAATCTGCATGTGAAAACTGACCAGCCTTGAGGCAGAAAGTTCTGTCCCAGAGCAGGGGACCCCTGCCTGCTCCTCAGTGCTCTGTGCCATCTCTGAAAACCCATCATTTGCTATCCCTCAGCGTTCCCATAACGTTTGCTCTAGGAACCAAAGACACATAGCCTGAGTTTTCTATAACATGGAATTCCTAAAACCTTTAAACGATGTGAGCTTCGGATTTACAGTTGGCTTCATGGTTTTGAGTTAGTAAATGGATTTCTCTCCCTCCCTCACTATTTCCTTGTGTGCTCTGCCCCTCCCCCTATTCAGTCAGCACCATGCATTGCCCCCGGGGGACGGATGACTCATAAGAAAAGCAGAGACATGCCTGGTGAGCTTCAAGAGCACAGACTTTTTGTTTGTTTGTTTGTTTAAAATCTTAAATCTTAAAGGACTGGGAACATAAAATTTGTGCCATAAATGTTTGTGGCATAAACGTTTATGCCAGAATCTCTTGGATGATGATGGCTCTCACCAGATGTACACCTGGGAACCAGCAAGACACCGGACCTCTATGGACGGTGGGTGGCGGTGGGGACATCATTAACTGTCAGAACCAGCCATCCCGTAGTAAAATGTACGTTCAGCTCTAGACAATCAAGTTCTACTTCTTACATAAGGTGAATTTGTAGCCTGAAATGTATACCTTATAAGCCACTCACCAACTGCTTAGGAGTTCAGCATGGCCACTGCCCTTTCTTTATAAAGGTTCTCTTCTTTTGCAGGGGGTCCCAAGCCAATTTGAGCCCCTCTCTGCAGTCCCTGTTCAGCAAGCCTTTCCTCTCTCCAGGCACTCTAGCCTTTGTTTGGCTACTTGGGGCCTCTGGGTAAAGGTTTTTTTCTCTGAACTTCCTCATTTCCTAATACATTCCAGGCAAAATGCAGACTGTTCTTTGCAGCTCTGCTTTGAGTGGGTGTAGCCACTTTAAATGTTGCTAACTCTAAAGATTCAGACCAAGACCCCTCAGGCCACCTTACCTGGAAAGCAGACCTACTGCTAGGAAAGGAGAGGGTCTTGATGGCCTGCAGCCCCTTCCTGCAGAAAGGAGGGTGGCCCGCTGACCTTTCCATCTGTGACAGATGCCTGAGCTTGAGAGTTCATTATCTACCCTCAGTGAGGATTGGGGTGGAGGTGGGGCTGGCTTCTTCCTCCTGCTCTCTGCAGGTGTGGCTGAGAAGGTCAAGCCCTCCAGAGTGCCATTGGCTGCTGCCCCTGGACACCATGGATCCCACTCTGCTGGGCACGTTGCTGTGTCACCAGGAAATATGGTGCCACTTGGCTTATCTGTGGATTTATGTATCCGAATACACAGACCACAAGGAGGAAATTCTTCCGAAACACTTTCAGTGACTATTTTCAACAGCTCTGAGAAAAAGGAAGATCATAAAGGAGGTGACGTTGCCAGGACCCTGGCAGATGAGAACCAAATTTAAAAGCGACCTTGACAAATCAGAAATTCAAGATGGATGACATTCAACACGAACCCAAATTCAAGTAGAAGATATACCTGAGGCGCAAGGGACGAACATAAAGGGAAGGGAGGAATTGTGTGGGCACGAGTGTTCTAGAGGATAAGATTCTGATCAGAATGAAAGCTCAATACACAAGACAACGCTGTAGTTTTCTGATGGGAAACTGAGTGTGGAAGCGTCACGATGAGGGAAGAAGGGCTGACGCCAGAGGGGACAGAGGGGGCGCACCATGGGGCTGGTGGGGCCTCTGCCTTCCCCTGGGCAGTTGGACTGTCCCTTGCCTGCCTCCTAACCTGAACCTGGGCCTCATCCTCCCCACAACCACAGCCCATTTGGTCGTCCCCGAGTGTGCCTGTTGTCTCAGAGACCAATCTAAACGAAGAAGAGGGGCCTGGCACTGTGAGAACTGTGACTCCTTCCCTGCCACGTGGGCTGGGACCCTGAGATCCCGTGACCTCGGGCCGAGGGCTCCTGTTGAGCCAGGTTTCCCACAGCAAGCAAGAATCCTCTGGGAATCACATCTTTGTGGGAAGGGACCCCGGTGATTATGCTGTCCTCCTTCCCAGGCAGCGAGGGGCCAGTGGGGTTAGACTGCACCAAGCCCTGGGGACCAGTTCCAGGCCAGTCACAGCCATGTCAGGAGCCAGGACTCCATTCGGCAGAGACACATGTGTCTTACACCAAGCAACGGCCCAGGAGTAACAGGCCCATAGCACTCTGCCCACCTGCCCTTTCTCCATCCTCCTGGCCCCATCCTTGGGGAGTTGGCTGTGCTCACCGTGAAGACACTGAAAGGACCCTCCATGATGACATGCCACATGGAGTTATGGGACTCAGGGTCTCACTCCTGGAGAGAGATCTAGGCTCATGGAGCCAGGCTGGTAGGGCCAGTCCTGCTGCTGCTCATGTGGCAGGTGACACAGGTAAGTAGATGGGGCGTGGGGGCGGGCGGACATCACACGTCTGGAGTTTGCAGATGCTGAGCAGGTACAGGTCTCTTAACCTGTCTGGCCTTCCTCGACCGGAATGGAGAGAAGGACTGCCTCCTTACCTCAGGGGCTCCTGGATAATATTGTTACTATGTGAGGCACTTGCAGAAGAGACTAAAGATTTTCTCTGTCCTCTTTCTTTCCCTCCCTTACTCCATGAACCTTTTATTCATTTTAATTGATTTTTACTACATTCATCCTTCACTGATGTTAAGAATTCATTCTGTCTTCGGGCCGGTGTATTCTGAGTGCCTATAACGTATCAGGTTGAAGGCCAGGTACTGGGACCCAAAGGTGTGTAGGGCAGGTGACTGTTCTCAGGTTCTCTTGCAGAAAAGCCTGGTTGGTCCTCAGGCCGGAGCCCACTCAGTACATGTGGAATTCTCAAAAAGCAGCATCATGGTATCTGAAGCTGGGCCCTTTGGGAGCCTCAGGAGGACAGACAAGGCTGGGAGATCCCCTGACACGGCAGAGTCACCCAGGCACCCGTTAGAACAGGGGGACGTGGTGTGGGCCCCACGGTCCCGAGATGGCACATGAGACTTCTGAACATTCCGCCATTTTCCTCCCACAGTCCTCCTCTGCTGTCTTCTCCTGGCACCCAGGTCTCAGAATTGGTGAAAAAGTCAGATGACATGGTTTTGTGATGGAGAGGAACATAAGATGGTGGGTACAGGGCCCACGCTTGGGGCTGGACTGCCTGGGTTTGTGTCCCAGTTCTACCACATATTAGCCATGTGACCTGGGGACGTCATCTAACTTCTCCACACATTTGTTTCCTGTCTGTACATGGGGGAAGGCGATAATGACAGTACCTACCCCGTAGGGTTGTTGTGAAGATTAAATGTGCTGAGTGCTTGGAACAACATTTAGCAAGAACCCAATGTTAAATCTGATAAACCATATTTAAACTTGGAAGCGCAAAGAAGTAGTTAGCGTTCCTAGTTGAGATGATGGGTCTCAAACACATTTGACAAGAACCCAAGGCTGTTCGTGGACGCCCGGTTGGAACAGGGCTAGGAGACGTCCGCCAGGGCCCGTCTGTCACTGGTTGTGTCCCCCACGCAGACAGCAGCCTGTCCTTGCTTTTCCAGCTTGTTAGTGCTAATGTTCCCAGCGCCCTTGGAGGATACCCATCCAGCATGCGCTCATGTAGAAACGTCACCCTGCGAACCTTTCATCAAGTGTTATAAAGAAGATGTCAGGCTGATGCAGACACATCTGGGGGCGACCGGGGAGAGACGTTCATTTTCAAACCTGTCAAACAGCAGCTCAGGCAGCATTCTTAACGCGGGGGTGGGGGTGAGGGTAGGGGGATGGGGGGTGGTTCTGAAGGATGAGGAGGAAGCACACAGGGCACTGGGTAGGAGCAGGGAACCGCAACCGGCCTTCACAGCCAGGCCTACCCCGGGCAGTGGGATGAGGGCTCCCTGCAGCAGAGCCCTAGCGATTCTACTCCAGGGCCCACAGAGCAGACACTGTCTGCAACCCTTGAACACAAACTCTCGGCTGGAATGTCAGAACATCCAGAGAAGAGTCCTTGGGGGACCCAGGTGACTCAGATGGCATTTGTTGTTGTTGCTGTATAATCGTAGATTCATAATCGTAGATTCCAAGTCTGGGAACATCAGTGGACAGTGGGGAGGAAGTTAGACTTTTCTTCGTCATTTGGGCTCCCAAGCTTCCAGGGGCCCCACTCGCTTCTCACTCCCCTCTCCCTTTCTCTTGCTGGCTTCGCTCCCACCGCCCATGACCTTGCAGGAGCATAACACAAGCTCAAGAGCCTGCAGCTGGCTGGGGCAGCCTGAGGGGGGTAGTGTGGTCCAACGGACAGTGCCCAGGTGAGCCATCGAGAAGTTTATGCTCCTGTGTCCTGTCCCCTGTGCCTCTCACCGTGTGATCCTGAGCGAGCAATTGAACTTATTTATCTGGGTCTTTCAGATGTGAGGCGGAAGCGGGTAGTGCAGGACAGCAGAGAGGAAGGCGGGCAAGCTGACTGTCACTCAGATGTTGGAGCTCTGAGGGGGTCCACAAGTCTGCAGTAGGGCCTTGCAGTTAAGGGCATGGCTGGGAAGCCAGACAGACCCCAGCTTACTCCCGCTCCACGGCTTCCCAGCAAGTCAGTCTTTCTGGTCTCATGTTCCTTGGCTATAAAATGGGATTAGAACGAGCACCTCCCACAGGAGGTTGTCCGTGTCGCACAAGCACACAGTAAGTGAGCACCATCATCCTTGTCGTCGTCTTCATCATAATCATGATCGATTCAGATGTCAGGCAAGCCGGCTAGAATTTGAGTCTTGGCTTAGCTACCATGAGTGATTTGGACAAGTTATTTAACCTCTAAGGCTCACATTTCTCCTCTGGGATGGTTGTAGTCATGCATATGTCACAGAGTGGCTCTAGAGACCAAATAAGATGAACTCCGCAAAGCACACTTCCTCAAGACTACTAGCTCTTTAAAGAGAGCTGTGTCAGCTTACTGGATGTATTATCTTCTTTCTTTGGTGAGCGGGTAGAGGTTTAAGGGGCAATAGACCATGTGTCCAAGAGCAAAGGTACGTGAGGAACCCACTGTCTGGGCAGGAATGAAACTCCTTGTCCAGCAGCCAGGCCCCTTTGCCCCAGGTCACACATCAGTGACCTGCGGGTAATGACTGACTAGTCTCTCAGTCATGGACGTTCACAGCAAGCCTTTTGCTTTCTCAACCCTGGGCAGGCCAGGCCCTCCCTCGCTGAAAAAAGATGCTTCAAGCTACTTCCACCCCCACCTCAGCGCATTTCTTCTAGTTTCCCAGGAGCAAGCCCCAGCTTGGACTCTGTGGGGGAAAGACACAGCTTAGGGCCCAGGGGTATTTGTGCAGGGAGGAGGTGGAAGTGGTTTCAGGAGCTCAATTCATTACAGCAGCAATCTCTGTCAAACAGGTTCCTGCTACTTCTCTGAGGCCTCTTTGTTCCATTGTTCCAGGGAGCCAGACAGGCCTCCCCACACTCCTGGAAGGGGGCAGGTGTGGGTGGGGAGGAAAGCCCCCTGGAGTCTGGCCAGCAGGCTGCTGCTGATAGCTCATCTCTGTTCACACAACACCAGGAGCCTCATTCTGTTTGATTGCAGCTTGTAAAACTCGGGCAACTGACTTCCTTTGCTAGTTTCTCCTCCAGGGGCAGAGGGGTGGCCAGAATCTGTGGGGGAAAGCTGGAACCATACTACCATACTGGCAATTCTTTCTTTCTTTTTTTTTTTTTTTTTGAACAAGGACTAGATCTTTGAAGAGTTTTTCCAACTCTGCAAGTCATTGATGGGGAAAGAGGAACCTCAATGGTCATAAAAAAAATAGGTAGGGGGAAGTTCTCAGATAATTTAGAGCATAAACTTGGATGCAATACAATGGAATATTAGTTGGCCCTAAAAAGGAATGGAGTACAGGTACGTGCCACATAAAGGATGAACCTTGAAAACATTACGCTAAGTGAAAGATGCCAGGCACCAAAGGCCACATGTTACATGGTCCTATTTATACAAATGTCCATTATAGTTAAATCCATAGAGATGGAAAATAGATTAGCGGTTGCCGGGGGTGGGGGAGAAGGGAATGGGGTGGCTGCAACGGGTATGGAATTTCCTTTTGAGGTGGAATTAGATAGTGGTGATGTTTGCACAACTTTGTGGTGTGCTAAAAACCACTGAATTGCACACTTCAAAAAGGTGAATATTGTGGTACGTGGATTTAAAACAAAAGCTTTATTGTATGATAAAAACAGTTGGGTTTCAGTCTGTAAGAAACTGGTGGCTGACAATGTATTACAAAAACTATAAGCTGTTCTGACAGTGAAGAGGTGGGGCTCCGTCTTGGTCAGTCCTCTGTCTACCTAATCATCTGCCTGACAGGTATTTATTGAGCACCTACTATGTGTCAAGGCAAGGTCTATATCGATGAACAAGACAGTATGTCCCTTCTTCAGGACTTCCCACTAACTTACCGTGCCCTCTTGGGCAGTTTAACTTCTCCGAGCCTCTGTTCCCTCATCTGCCCCTATGAAGTAACGAGAGACTGAGATCCCAGGCGAATACCACATAGGTCTACATTACCTGGAGCTGTGGTTCCCAACCCTGGCAATGCCTCAGAAACTGCCTCAGAGCTCCGTGAAATTACAGGTTCTGGAAGGTCCTGTTTCAGTCAGCCCGAGGTGGCTTTGGCGCCTGTGGCTCTCTGCCCTGTCGGGTTGTGGAACCTCTGCCCAGGCCACCAGAGCCCAAGGCCTGACTATTAGCCATCCAAAATGAAGTTCCCTGCCTTCTCTGACTGCTTTCTGGATTGTCTGAGGTCTCCCCAAACTACCTCAGAATCTCCACTTACACATTCCCTTCAGGGACCCTTTGTGTCATAGAGCATGGCCCAGGGGACCCAGCATTTCACCGCCTGCAAAATGAACTTTTCCTGCACTTTCATTCCCCATGGAGGTTAAAAAGGATGAAAGCAGGAAAAAGTTGTCCAGGTTCCAAAGTAAAACAAGGTTCCTCATCCGTTTTTAGGGTCATTTTGCATGTTAGCAGTCAGCTGCTTGTTTTGCTCAGTTCTCATTATTTGGGGAAATATTTTCCATGAAGTTTCCTAAGCACAGATGATATGTGACAGACTAAATTGTTATGTTAAGGTAGGGTTCTTAAGTATATAGGCTAGGTCACAAAATTGGCATATAAACTTTTAATGGGAACAGAAGTTTACACGCACACATGCATGCATACACACACACACACGCACACGCACACGCACACGCACACGCAGTACAGCTAGAATGTTTTTATATCCTCCCAGAGCTCAGCCTTCTTCCTAATTTGGGCAGCTCGGCAGAAGGAGGCTCTGAGGGCTCTGTATCTCTTCCCTTAGCTGTGTGCACAGTGGAAGATGGATTCGTACCTAGCAGGCGACCACCAGGGGATGCCTAATGTCCTGCTGTTGCATTGTCCACGGGAAGTGAGGGAAGAGAAAGGGCTGACAAAGGTGAGAAGTCAGTTCTTGCTTAAGATGTCAAAGAGCAGATTGAGGGGGAGGTGGTTCCTACCTGGGTCATTCCTCTCTGCAAAGGCCACTATGTGGATCCCATTCAAATCATCTTCCTGTGGGAGAAACGAATCAAAGGTTACACTCCCAGGTGGAGAGATGCCATGGCGGAATCAGGGACAGACTCCGTGGCTGGGATGGACATGGGAGGTGGGGGAGTGACACAGAGGCACAGGGCAACAGAGCGGGGCGCACGACGGAAGGAAGTGCAGATGAGCAACTGGGAGGAAGGCATGGTGTTTGATAAATGGGTTTTCAAGACAGGAGAACATCAAGTGCACAACAAGACATTAGCACTGAATGGGCCTCACTCGCGTGGTCTGGTGGGTCCAGGAGGGCAGCAGGAAAAGGCAAAAGGAGGAAGAATGTGAGTCTCACTTGTCAAAAACTCTGAGGGGAGCAAGCATGTAACATAGCTCAGTGAATGCAATGTTGGTCTGTGTTTCAAGGATTCACCACCAGCAGGTATAATCAGTGATGTACCAGATTATGGAAACTTCTGGATGCTGCTGACAGATCCTGAAACTGTTCCCAAGTAGGCAACAGACAGGAATCTTTAGTTCCGCATTATAGGCAGGAGGCAAACTAGGATGTGGGTCTGTTTTTGTTCGCACCAGGGTAGTAACGAAATAGGAGATGTAACGACCTCTCCTATTGAAAACCTGTGTAACCAGTAGGGGGCGCTTTGCTGACTGTCACTTCTAAGTTACTTCCTTGGGTTCCTTTCTGTGAGGGAACCAGAGCTTGCCACAGAACTCTAGGCCTCTAACGCGTGTCTGTGGGAGGCTACAGGAAGGTATGGAATTTGGGGGCTAGGGCAGGTTGAGAGTGTGATGGTGAAAAGTGGGTATGGCTATTGGGCCTGCAAGAAGCAAAGAATCTAGAGAGTATTTCAAATCTACGGGGCAAGCAAGCGGCATTCCATGTTTCTGTGGCCAGAAAGGACCATGTGCCCATGTCTCCTTTGCATCAAATTATTCCTGCAGGAGGAGGAGGAGCTTGCAGGGACCTCTGTTCTGAGAAATGTGACCCTCAGGAGACTTGGAGAGGAATGTGCGTGAGAACGAAGCACCAGGGACACATCTGTGAATACTGATTATCGCTGACACAGGGAAAGGGATTCGCCGGGTACTCCAAATGTCATATCACATCATCCTATGGAAAAAACAACAACTCCAGGCATCTCAGCCCTCTATGATCCCTGTTTCCATTTCAATTGCTTTTAATGCTGGTGCGATCCTATCTAAATGCTAATTTTTTCCCCTTGAGTTTGGAATGGACAAAACCTCCAAAAATTCTGAGACAGATTAAATGGAAAATATTATTATTAAAAACAAGAGAATGGGCACTGCCTAGGTCAGACTCACTGGGGAATTGAATTTTACAGATGTGTGTGTGTGTGTGTGTGTGTGTGTGTGCGTGCGCGCGCGCAGGTTTATTACACAGATCTGACAGCAGCCAGAAGGGGAGCCTGAGGTTTCCCTGTTTTACATTTGCTATTATTACCAGACAGAATACCCTGATCAGTTCTCATTACGCTGCCCTCTGTCTCTGTCTCCTGCCATCCGTGCGAAGGCAGTGGTATTAAGTCCGTGAAGCAAGCTTCATTTCTGGGTGCCCTTCTAGAATGCATTTGGAAATTGCTTTTAGAATTAAGCATCCATATTCATTTGTTAACAGGCGGCTCATAATATGGCTGTCACTCCCCAAGCCCCATATGGTCCCTGGATGGAGAGCTGTAACCAAAGAAAAGAGCCTGTGTCTTTGTAGGTCTCAGAGCTTCAGCACACGAGCCTGAACTGAGCACCTGTAAAGAGGCAGGTGTGTGCTCAGTGCCAGGTACTTTCAGGAATAAGATGACAGAGCAAGACCCCATGGGCTAGCCTGTAAGTCAGGTTACTCAGTGGGAGAGCTGAGCTGACCGTCCACAGGATTGACCAGCCCTGGGGGGCTTTCTCTGAATCCCGTGACCTCTGCCCAGATCACCCATTTGGTCTCTGGATCACATTGTCTTGGAAATGATCTTTTTTTACTTGAATGAATCCTCCTTTCTCAACCAGGTGGCAAGCTCCCTGAAGAAAGGGATTATGCCTTAAAATAACAATGATGATTAAAATGGCAACAGTAATATCTGCCATTTGTCACTGTACATCAGTACTTTGTAAGTTCATTGTTTCTAAATCTCAAACGAAAGTCTTATTCCTGTTTAATGCTTAAAGAATTGAAGTGACTTGCCTAAAGCCACAGAGCTGGTATGTGACATAACTGGGATTCAAGCCAGTTCTGTATGGCTCCAAAGCCCATGCTCTTTCTACTTACTGAAGGGACCCAGAATAAGCCACTGTGGCATAAAAATTGTTCTGAACTAAAGGCATTTCAATTCCTCACATTCCCTTATTTGCCTAAAAGCAGAGCCTCGCCCCAAAATTCAATTGTCATAAACCCCCTCCCTGGGTATAATTCTAATCTTCTCTTCTCAGACAGACATTGTCACAAGCTATCATGTCTCCATCTATTCTTCTAAGTACTCATTTACCTTTCCAAAAAGTCATTGGTTCTCTCAGAAGTGCCCCCTGCCCCTCCCCATCCCCTGTTCAGATGGTATAAACCCCTCCTCGAGTTGCATTTCTTTGTGAACTCCCATGCATAAACAGGTAATTAAACCTTTTTTGTTTTCCTCATGCTAATCTGTCTTTTGTCACTTTAATTTGCAGGCTTCTAGTACTGAACCTAAGAGGGTAGAGGGGAAAAAAATGTCCTTGACATCACCAACAGCACAGAACGGGCTCCATGAACCTGTTGTCCTTCAACAGGGTTTGCAGAAGATGTTGCAAATTCAAGTCAGTGGCTCTGACTTAAGTTAAAAAAGATTTAGAAAGAGCCTTTCTATATAGTGACTGAGCCTCAGATCCCCCAAAGGACTGGAGATTTGAGAGTTACTTTGGTAAATACCTTGCTCTGGATTCCTTACCACTGTGTATGTACCTCTGTCATAGCAGGGAGTACTAGACTAGTAGTCTATGTTTTGAGACTGTTTCATTAACTTAACCCCAAATGCCTGAGGACAGGACAGCAGTTGTTCCTTTTTATAATCTTTGTGCTTAGCATAATGTAATAAGTTCTTATTAATGCCTCTGTACTGAAAAAAAAAAGTATGGTGATAAAAATCTTACATACTGGTTGAAGAAAATTAGAAAATATTAGAGATAACCAAGAAGAAACTAACACTCCAACCACCCACCAACCAGATAGATCCCCTCTGTGCATATTTTCTCTATTGCCTTCCAGTCTCTGTTGAATATTTGTTCTCATGTTGAATGAAGAGATGCCACATTAAAAAAAAAATGGAGTTAAAAGTAGCAGACTCCCTCTCTCGTGCAATGGAGTGTCCGAGGAGTTCATCTGGAGGTTTCTGGCCCCCCTCTTGGAAACACTTTGCTATTGCAACAGTGGGAGGAGTCTTGTAGAAGGAAGTGCTGACCCCCATCCCTGCGGGCTTATGCCCAAGGCTTGGGCTGACCACTTCCCAGGATGGAGAGACAGTTGGAAGGCAGCGTCTCAAAGGGGAAGGACAGGTCAGCACTGGGCTTAGACCAGCCTTCCCCACCTTGACATTCTTTGAATATTCTAAATAAATAAACAGCTATCTGGATTACACACAGCAGATTCTACTAGGCACCAATTTCTTTTGTAATAATAAATTATGCATTCTCTATGGTTTGCTGCTTTAAAAACCTGTGCAAACAGGGAGAGAGAAGTCAATAGTTGCTTTAGCCCTACCTAGTTTTCCTGTCTCATTGAAATATTTTGCAGTATCTGGGAAATGGGTATTGACAATAAAGACTTCTAAGTTCATTAACGGGTCCCTGTCCCCAATATCTGTGGTTTAAGTTGCTGTGGCCTAATGGTCCACAGAGATGCTGTTGTTTGGAGCAGTGCCCTCCTAGGTGGGCAAGGGTGGATGGGGAAGGGGTTTGGGGAGTGGCTCCCCAGAGATCCTTCTAACAGGTTGATTTCTGCTTCTTTTTCAGGATGTGAAGGTGACACTGGAGGGCCTGTCCTGCCTTCCCATCCCGAGTTGGAGACTTGGATTAGGGGCTGGCTAGGTCTGCGTGGGTCTTCGGTGGAAGTCGTGTGAGTATTCTGTGATGGGGTGTGGGAAAGGAGTAAATGCTATTTTCTCTATCAGGTTAAAATTCATACACAGCCTGTTCCTTCTTAGAAGACAACCGAATATATAGTAACATAGAAAATATGAGCCGTCATCGTTATTTTATGTTCTAGCAAAAGGCTGTGATGCACCTTATTCACTGGAGCTGACAGAGCAAGTTCCAACGAAGCCAGACAGCAAACGCTCTCCCTGAACACCCACCTCTGCCGTGGTAAGCGGGAGCATCTCTGCAGGGCAGTGTGAGGGTTGCAGGGCATTTGTGGTTGGGGGAGGGGCAGGAGATAGGCTGTCCCCCTGTGGAATGTCGTGATCTTGGGTGTAAGACTGCTGTGTCAGGGAGGAAAGGCCTGAGAGAAGGCATCTACAATTTTGTAGCCTCTCCCCTCCAGGAGTCTAGATAATTGAGACTCATCTCTTAGGTATGAAGAAAATGAAAAGAAGACCTAAGGATAGAGGCATATGCAGGACAGAACAGTAATAATCACTCGCCATTTAAAATGATACATATATCCTGAAAGACAAAGAAAGACCAAGGACCTATCCCAGATCAAAGTCAACTAAAGAAACATAACAACAAACACAAGTGTGTGACCCAGGATTTTATCCTGTGCCAAGGAACAGTATTTAGGAGTAAAAGAGAAACTGTGTTTGCTACCTAATCTCAAACAGTTCAGGAAAAATGATCTATATTATCTATTAAAAGACAATGATAACACAAAAGTGGTAAAATGTTAACATTTGGGGAATCTGAGTAAAGAGATCATGGAATTCTTTGCACTACTTTTTATGTCTGAAATTATTTTTTAAGTAAAAAGATTGTAAAAAGAAATATTATTTTTAAAGCATGGTTGCATCTTTTTATTTTTAAATCTAATAATGAGACCTTTAGAAGGTTACATTTTTGAAAGGTTGGGATGTTGTGAAAATACTTTTCTATTGTGCTATGTTGTTCTTAGGTGATCCACTCCTTTGAATGGATTATTTGCTCTTCAGTCTCTTATGAAATGTTTGCTCTACCTACAGACATCCAAATAAGTTATGGGCCGGTAAAACAGGAAGTGTCAAGTTACTCCATGGCTCTGTTCACCCATCCCTCTAGGCTCTGAATGAAATCATATATCAATAGATAGATAAGTAAATAAATACTTCCATGTGAATCCCTTTCTCCTTCCCACTCACATCCCCACTGCCAAAATGGTGCCTTGTGGGACACGGCCCACTCTAGGGAGGCTATACTGGAGAGAACATGAGATTTGGCGGCAGATGGTCCAAAATTTAAGTCCCAAGATCTAATGCACATTACCTATGTATCCTTAGCGATTAACTTAAGCCATGTGATCATCAATTTCCCCATGTAAAATGGGGCTAAAATAACACATGTTCTACATCACTTTCTAGAACTGTTGAATGATCCAAGTAAAAGGATACGTGAAATGCTTTGGAAAAATGTTCCCCAGACTTTGGTTGTTATTGTTTACAGAATTTTGTATAAAACAGAGGTGGGGTGGAGGTTGGATCTCCATGACCCTCTTTCTAATACACCTTGACTCACCTGACCTGTTGTCCCTGAGTTAGATGGAGGGGACAATCTGACTCAGCGCTTTCCAGCAACATGAATTGAAATTTATAAAAAACAGCTACAATTCATTAATCAAGCACCTACCATATTCTGGGCTCCTCACTTCACTCACCCTTACAAAAAAGCCCTGATTTTAAATGCAGAAACTAAAGCGTAGAAAGATCACATGACTTGACGTAAGATGCAAAGCTACTTGGTAGCAGATTCTGGATTTGAACCCAAGTCTCTGTATTTCATAGCTGGAGCTCTTTCCATTTTGGTACCCTGGGTCTCTGTGGCCAGTGCACAGAAGCCAGTGGTCACTATGGGAAATGAATTCAGAGATAAATTTTACCTAGTGGGTAGCACCGAAGAGGCTTAAATTGGATCCATGGAGAAATGGATTTTAATTGAGCATGATCTTATCCATGTTTGAAATACTCGACCATCCAGATATCCACTGTAGTCAAATAAAACTTGGTTGAGTTTTGGGACTCAAAGGGGTATTTCTCTATAAGACAGAAGGAGTTTGCCACTTTCTTACCCATGTTTCAAACATGTCTTCTGGTCGTAGGCGACGTAGGGTGGGTCTGAAAAAAAAAATGAGCTTCCTTGAGTAGAGGTTACCATGATAGATACCGAGACACCCCGTAGCTCACCCCTCACCTGCTGTGTCACACAGAGACCTGAGCCTAAAGCTCTCAGGCTCTTCATAGACCCACCTGACCCAAGGATTACAAAGTCTATCACAGACCATGGGTCAGAAGGCTCAGGGTCAGCTCGTTCCTGGCAAGAGGCCATTTCCCTCCTCCCAGACAGGCGTCACTCCTGAGTGCCCAGAGCAGGCCCAGAATGAGGAGGACTGGGAGAGAAAACGAGAAGTCCTGTTTTTTCCATTGTTTGGTTTTTATTACCGTCAGAGTCATCTATCAAAAGCCCTTTAGGGATGTTTGGAGGAGCAGGTAGGATCTATATTTTGTTCATGGTTTCATTTCTTTCTGAATGTTCCAAATAGTGCTAGATATGCTGATATTTGCTCCTCCATGTACCGCCTCCCTGTGGGGACTGGGACTGACCAGCTGGTGGAATCATGGTGCTTCAGGTCCAATGAGTGTATGTGAGCAGATGTCAAGGAGGGCGGGTGGGTGGACCAGGTGGTGAACCCACCACAATGTCCCAATATTGTCCTTCCCTCCAGATCAGGGGTGAGCAAACCTGCTGGTGGACCAAATTCAGCCAGTGCCGCCTATTTTTATAAATAAACTTTTTGGGCACACAGCCACACCCAGTTGTTTACATACTGTCTGTGCTGCTTTCACACCACAACAGCAGGGTTAGTGTTGCAATGGAGACCATTTGGCCCACAGAGCCTGAAATATGTGCTATCTGGCCCTTTACAGAGAAAGTTTGCTGGTCTACTCTGGCGTCAAATATTCCTCTCCCGGAAGATCTGTGTATAGAATGTTCATCCTTGACTGAGTTACTTAACTACCTGGAGCCCAATTCCTTGATCTGTAAAATGGGAATAATGACAATTACCCCACCATGGTGAATATTAGATAACATCGCTTCCCCAAGCACCTACCATGGTACTTGGTATATAGGAGGCTGTCCCTGAATCACTACTGTTATTATTGTAAAATTTTACTTATATCTTTCTCTGACTTCGAGGAAGTTTGCTGACTGGGGGTAGGCGGTCCAACCCTATCGGCAAGTGTAGACCTATGTTCAGAACATGTAGCGATATCCCTGCCAATCAGTGATGACCAACAAAGCCAGTCTAGTGAGTTCAGTTCTGCTGGGGGTGCTAGCTCCAGGTTGTTGCTCTTAGGGGTCTGAAATGTCAGGACTGAGGGCTCTTCTCCATCCCCCAGACCCTGATCCCCCCCCCCTGCATGCCATGTGGGGCACCTTTGGTGCTCCTTCACAAACTCCACCAGCTCCTCTTCTGTGTAAGGTTTGTCAGGGATGGCAGTGGGCTCGTCCATAAATGGCTCGTAGAAGTCCACCTCGTTCATCTTCAAGGACAATTTCTTTGCAACCTGTACCAATGAGAAATGTGACAATAACTTCCTTGAATGCTAGCCTAGAGTAGCAGCGGATGGTCCATCTATATGGCGTTTGTGTGTTCTCAGGCAAAGACATGAGCGTGTAGGTACGGTTTTAACTTAAATGTTGTAGTAATAGGAACTCATCCCCTAAGGCCTGACTGGCCCCATCAAAGCAAGACAGATAGGGAGGGAAAAACCTATTCGGCCAACCAAGACCAAGCAGGGGCAGGGAGCAGACAGAATGAAAAGTGGGAAATCTAATTCTATAGTCGCCATCACTGCACTATATTTGACAGGGCTGGAGGAGGAAACAAATGTCAACAGAGATGCAGTGTCCTGGGGTGTATCGATTTCATTGAACCAATTTTGACAGAACAAGTAATTGACAGGAACCATTTAAAGCACTCAGGTATTCAGAATCAGAGGCCAAATCATTAATCCTTGATAAGTGCATGAACCCTTCTTGCATTTAGGTTGACGCACTGGCCATAGGATTATTTCTTAGTCCTGGGCTTGTGTGATGGTTTGTCAGGCTCTGGGCACTGCCCTTTTGGTTACCAGTCAGAACATGACCAACCATCCTGGTTTCTCCAGAGCGGAGGGATTTTCCTGGATTTAGAGTCCCTCTCAGTGCTCAAACTGGGATAGGATCCAGCAAGCCAGGTTGAGCTGCTCAGCCTACACCAGATAAAAAGCTCTGGGAGCCAGACAGATCCTGGAAGGCACTGCCTCTTTTGATTAAAGTGGCCACATGGTCTTGTTAGGGCAGAATGGTTACTGTGTTCGCCTGCAGACCTCTTTTTGTGAAATGATTTGAGGGGCCTGGAATGTGCAGCGCTTTGTAGAAAACCAATGTCATTCTTTTCTAGTTCAGAGCTATGGTCCAAGAAAGCACAGGGATGAACAGTGGTTCCCTTGAAACTTGAAAGAGGAATTGCCTGAGAGCTGACGCCCTGTGGTGGTAACTGACCGCGCAGTGGCCCAGAGCAGCTGGGACTCATTGGGGAGGGGGCAGAACTGGGTGTTATACAGCAGTTACACAAGGGGTCCCTCTGAGGAAACACTGGTATCCCTATGGCTTTTGTCATCCATTGCTATTAATTCCAGGTTCCAAAATACTTTCTTAATAGGAAGTACTTATTAGAAAGAAATGCAGCTAATTGGTCAGTCAAAGGAGATTTTACAGTCAAGTTGATTTTGTCTTAAGGGACAGGAAGGTGTGGGGCTTTTATCTTACTTTTTTCCCTCTTCCATGGGGTGAGGGGGTGGATGATGGGGTGGGAGTAATGGAGGTAAACAGCAACTGTACAACCAGTGTCTGGTTTTACCTACAGTTCTTCGCAAAGCTGGGCCCATCCTAGAAGGGGCTTGAACATGACATTGGATTCCGGTTTTCTGAGTTCACTTACTACATGTATTTTAGGAACCAAGAAACTGTGATTATATGAACGGGGAAGTGACTGGATAAACAAAAACAGCAATAACAGCAAGCACAGAGAGTACTTACTATGTGCAGGCACTGTTACAGAGTGTTTTAGGTGGATTACTTCATGAATCCTCACTTGGATTGTATGAGCTAAAAGCGATTATTATACTTACTTGACAATGGATGCACCCAAGGCACAACCTGAGTATCCTACCTGGAGGGGACAGAGCCAGGATTCAAACCCAGGCAGTGGAGTGTTCTAAACTACCAGCGTGCCCGTGCACCACCTTTCCCTTCATTAGAACATGACCTTCTCCTTGACTGAAAAGAAAGGAATGTAGTCCCTATACATAGTGCATCGGCGCTGCACGTGTTTAGTGAGATGTTTCCCCTTCCTCATGTAACACGCTCTCATCAGTTTATTCCCCCATCACAGTCCGCTGGAATTCAGGCTTCCTGAAGATGAGATGGAGCTCCTGAAAGCCTCTGTGGAGGTAAGCAGCATGGGGGCACGTGTGTGTGTGTGTGTGTGTGTGTGTGTGTGTGTGTGTGTGTGTGTTGAGGGGTGGGTCTCTGGGCCTTGGATGGCAGTGTCTGGGTCTGCAGTGTTAAGATCATGAATTTAAGGTTGAATTGTAATGTTCTTATAAGTCTGAGGATGGCTGAGCAAACTTTTCCAGAGTCCTCACCACCATCATGGAGGGCTCTTGTTATGTATCTCAGAGAATCTCCTTTCATTCTATTAATTGTATCTTGGGTGGTAGGGAGGAAGGAGATTTAACCGATTGAGGCACTGATTCATTCGTTGACATAAAACATTTAGTGAGGCTTACTGTATCCAGGGCACTATTCTCAGACCAGACCTGGTTCATGGACAGAGCAGTTATGTGAGAATGGATTTTACTATTGAAAGCCGAAGAGGTCCATAGAATGAGTTATTTTGTGCCTTTGTGTTTGTTTGTTGAACTAGTTGAAATAGATTTTGCCAAAGACAAGAAAATGACAGTGTACAGTGGCCATTTTTTTGGCATTTGCCTCTGTATGAATTTTTTTTTT